TAAATCGGTGAAGTCGAGTTTGTTCAAATTTGACATGTTCCTTATAATAGATGGACAAGATGTGGTTAGTGTAATGGAGAAAAATCAATCCATTCACATAGGAGTAGAACATACTGGTTCTAATAAACATGTATTGTTTTAATTTTGCATGAAAAACTTCGGGTTTTCATGGGTGATATGTTTAAGTGAAAACTTCAGGTTTTCAAACAAGGCATGTTTATAAGAAACTTCAGATTTCAAAGTAATTATGAACTTCAGGTTCATGTATTCCTGCAGGCAAACGCAAATATATATGCAAACAAATATGCAACAAGTATATGCAAGAAACATAACTTGTAGGTGTATAATTATAATTGAATTAATTATTTGGACTTTGGGCCAAATTAAAAATGTGGGTGAAAAAATATAAAAACCCAAATTATTTAAAGATATTAAATAATAAAATCTCGGGGGCCTAAAGTATGGGCAAAGCCCACGGGTGGCTCATGGGTGAGCTGCAGGCTCGCGGGGAGACATGGCAAGAGAAATGGGCTGCTGTAGGCAGCAAAAAAATTTCTTTGTGTTTTTTTTTTCACACACGGGATGCTTCAGGCAGGTCCAAGAAAAATCAAAACAAAAAAAATTTCCTTTTTTTTTCGGGCTGGGCCGCTGCAGGCAAGCCCAGAAAAAACAAAAAAAAATTATTTTTTTTTCTTTTTTTTTCTTGCACGCACGGGCCGAGGAACAGGAGCCCACTAGGGCTAGGGTTGCAGGGAACCAGGACACCCCAGTGGCACTGGGTGTCAAAATTGAACCGGGGGGATGCCAGCGTCGCTTCAGGCGACTGTCCTCGGGGCTCTAGAGTTCGGCAAAACTCGTGGGTTCAACGAGTGACCCAAATGAGAATAGAGATTGACGAAATCTCGTCGTGCTATCAAAAACCCTATGAAACAAATTGGGATTTCAAAGAAATTGTGACGAGATTCGAGAAAATCTTCGGCCATAGGACACCGTGGACGATCTGCAGGTCGTTTGAGGAGGCTAGGCACGGCTGCAGGCCGTGCAGCACGGTGATGGATTGGTGGCGACACCTGCTGGGTGTCGGGGTTAAGGGTTTGGGCGAGGAGCAGAAGCTCCGGCCGTGGTCTTTGGCTCGAAGGATCGATGTAGGCTGTAGGCCTGGTGAGGAAAACGAGCTGAGCCATCGCAGGCTGCGGGCCTGGTGGCATGGGTTCGAATTAAACCTAGAATTCCCGATATGTTTTTTTTTCAATTCAAATATAATTATATGCATATATATTTCAATGAATCACATATTTACTTTGATGCATATGCAAATAATAGTTTCAATGCATGTACATATGTAAGATTCAATTCATGAAAAATATCAAATTCACATAATTGCAGCAATTTTGGTTATGAGGCATACACAATTTATGTAGAATCTAAAATACGTTAAACGTAAAGTTGGGTCATGCATTATGGTGAATGTTCATGCTATCAGGGCTTGCAAAATATCGAGTTAAAAGCCGTTGTTTTGAAAGAACCTGATTGCGTGATGATATGGATGAACTGGTTTGATGCAGAAAAAAAATTCTCCAACGTCAGATTCCTAAGCGTAGCGGTAGGAGCGTGCTGATAACGTGTTGTGGTCTATTTTTATCTGACAAAGGGAGAGGGGCCGACAACACAGGAGAAAGGGAAGAGAGATGTGTCTTTGTAGAATTGTAGGGGAATGTGTGTTGTTATCCCTCCTACATTGTGCCTTTATTTATAGTAGTAAAGGGAGAGAAGATATTCTTTCTTCTCCAAGTAATACAAGTTGTAATAGGAAAGGATAACTAGAATCAAATCTAATCTAGAATTTATACAATCATACTTAAACTAGGAATGTTCACAACAAAAATAACCGTTAAATCGTGATTTTCCGTTTTATAACCATCGAAAAGTTTTGTCCCGTTACTTGATCTCTGAATGTTTGTTTTTTGCGATTTTTTGCTGATGCGATCTCGAAGCATATACAAACAAGTTTGACGGTTGGATCATTGAAATTAATTTCGTAGAATTCGTATCCCATCAAATTCAATGGTATATATATATATATATATTTAGTAAGTAGATTTAAATTTATTTATTTTGTACGTATAACACTTAACAAATTGAATTGTATGTATATTTAAGCCGATCCAATGGTCACCAATTTTTAAAATTTAATTTAATATATATATATATATAATTATTATAGTTTTAGGGGTTAAAATTGTTAAATTAATATATATAATTATTATAGTATTTTTAGGGTTATAAAATTATAAAATTATAAAATTAATATTTTGGATGATCGAATTCTTGATAATGAAAATTTCCATGCAATGGTTGGTGTGGAAGAGACTCTTTTTCATGAATCATTACCACTGCCTACTGAGTTCGTTAATTATGCCAATACTGACGACGACCTAACAGATGATGACTTGGAATAAATATATTAATTATTTTATGTATTTTAAGTATTAATTAGACTATGTTTCAATTAGTATGTGATGATATTTTATAATAAAAATATATTTATGTTTTCTATTACATTTTATTCAAGTTAAATTTTATTTATTAAAATCTTAAAATGTTATATGAGATAACACAAAAACAAAGAGCTGGTTATTTTTTTTCTTTGGGTTAAAACATTTTTTTTAAACTAGTCTGCTGTCGGTTTTAGCCGACGACATTGGTCGGATAATTTGAAATATTAGGTGGGAAATTTCCCGCTTGTTTTGCACGAGGAAATGGATGGAGAGACTTAGTGTCGGTTTTAACCGATGCTAGTTTCATTAAAGTGACGCTATGTGAATTTCAAAAAATGTGTCAGAAGTTGGTGTCGGTTTTAACAGACGCTAGTTTCACTAAAGCGACGCGAGTTTCATTAAAGCGACGTTATGTGAATTTCAAAAAGTCTGTTAGAAGTTGGTGTCGGTTATGACCGACACCAACATAAATTTAAACCGACACCGTATTTTCAATAAAGAGTGTCAGAAAGTGTGTCAGGTTGGCGTCGGTTTTAACCGATGCTATGCACATTTAATTCAACGCCATGTACTTTTAATTTGACATAAGTTAATCATTGTCAGTTTAAACCGACGCAAACTAAGTACCCATATTTAAACCCCTCTCTTTGCCATTTCATCCGTGCTTTCATTTCTCCCCCAATTTCAAACTTTCTTCTTCTTCTTCCCCATTTCATCTGTGCATCCCTTTCTTCCTCCTTTTCAATTTTTCCTCTTCTCCTTCCCCATTTGCTATGGATCACCATTTTGAAGATCAACATTTTGAGGAACCCCAATTCCAAGAGGAAGAGCTTGAAGGTGGTTCATTTTTAAATTATTATGATTATTAATTTTAGTTTATGTTTTGTATTCTAACTAGTTTTATGCTTAAATTTAAAATTTATTTTTGTTTCTTGGTTTTTAATTGTTTTTCAGTATTTATAAGGATCAACTCAACGGAGACACGGACCCTCAATTCCGAATTGGAAAGAACAACCTTGTTCATTTGATTCTTCTGGAAAATGCATTAGTGATAATTCTAATGAGTTTTCGAAACATGTAGCGGCATAGGTTAGAGATTACAGAAATATTCCAATGGTGGCATACTGAAATAAAGAAAAAACAAAGGTAAACGTATCATGATTTATTTTATTATACCTTGAAATTTGTCTAATAAATTCTTTTATTTTTCAGGAGATTGCCGAAAAAAAAAGAAGCATAATCGGCAGTTGAAACTATGTACCACACAACCGGTTCAAAATCTTTTGCAAGAGTTTGGGAAGAATTTGTATGGGTTGTACATTTTTAAGAATTGTAGTTAATTTTAAATTTAATATATAGTTGGTAGAAATTTTATTTCTAATATGAAGTTTGCTTAAAATTGTTTGTTTTTTCATTGACATATGGTGGGATTTATTTTTATATAATTTTTTAAAATTATTATTAATTAAAAATGGAAAAATAATTTTTTTATTATTAATATATTTGGTGTCGCTTATGGACGACAGTAGCTTAATTTTTTTATTTATAGAGATGGTAGGTAATGTCGATTACGACCGATAGTAGCTCGACTATTTTATTTATTTAACTTAGGTGATGTCTGTTTGGACCGATAGTAAGTGTGATATTTTAATTGTTTATTTGTTACTTAATGTCGGTTTGGACCGCCATCATATCAGATTTTCATGTCTCTTTTAAGCGACGTAAGCACCGATGTCGCTTTTAAGCGACGCTGTTGTTCTTTTTTATTTTATATTATTTTCCTTCTTAGTGGCGGATTAAGGGGGATAAGCGATGTCAATACCCTTTTGTGACGGTAGTATTGGCGTCGCTTCCACTATCCGAAATTGCACGATTTAATGTCGGATTTTTACCAAAAATCCGACAGTAAGTGGTGTTTTTTGTCGGTTTTATAGCGCCAGTAATATCCCTTTTTGTAGTAGTGGTGTCAAGGCCCCTCTCCAACTCCGCGAACAACAATCTCACTACTTTCCACGTCCCTTTTGGAGCGATTAGTAGTGCAGCGGCAGCATGAGGGGGAGGAGGAGGAGGACCCCAAGTGTAACAACTCCACTAAGAAGGAGGAGACTGAAGTAGTATTATCATTTCTTAAGTTTTGCAGAGGATGATAATATTGATGACGAGCATAGCAGTATCTGCTCTCTTGTTGGCGCCCAGGACATCATTATTCCTCAATCTTTGATTCAAAAGATCGGAGTCCCGGAACAACAATTTAGTATCAAGGGCCACTGCAAGGGCATCGTTTTACTAAATAGTGAGAATAGCCTAGTTTTATGCAATCCCGGAATTGAGGAATTCAATCGTATTCCCGATGTGCCATGCCTTCCAATGTGGCCCTTGGACCAGCAGGATGATTACGATGGGCAAGAACATATTGAAACTGGTTTTCATACTGGATTGGCTATGATCCCAAATCTAATGAGTACAAAGTTGTGAACTTTACTACTTATTTTCAAGAGACAGATGAAAACTGCTGGAGATTTCTTAGTCGGTGATTTTTTGAAAGAGATCAACACCGATTCTTTAGAAACTGAAACTAGTTTGTTTTGGCCTGAGTATTTCCAGATGTTCTCCAAGGGAATGTGTTATTGGCTGGCAATTGAGCAAGATAAGGAATTATTTCCATTCGACCTAATTGGGAGTCGATTCCAAGCGAATGGGACATTGATCATTTCTTTCGATACAAGTCGTGAGGTATCTCACGGTATACCCTTACCATCTGAGCTCCAACAGTTTGTCCGGTCGGATCACCTTTGTTTGAAGCTTACTGTGTGGAATGAATCAGTTGCTTTTCTTGCCCGTGTTGTGAACAGTCCTCATGACAACAGATATCCTGAACCTTATGAAATGTGGGTGATGGATGATGACTTTAAGGGTGCCTATTGAGCGTACAGATCAGATACTAGGGTCTAACCCTGTGGCATTGTGGGGCGATGAGTTTCTTATGGTTGACACTGACGGACACGTAGTTAATTTTCTTTTATCTTTGTACCAAAAAGCTGAAGCACATTCCCATTGAAGCAGAAGATAATGATTATGTTGTTGTTTATGTGAATAGCATAGTTTCGGTCATGGGATGCAGCCACAAGCTTGAGAGCATAGAGAATACTTGCTCAGATAAAGATGAAGATGCGATGGTGGTGTTAGACGGGAAGAGGGAAAGCTGCAGGAGGTTGTCCTCATATTCGGTTTGGGCCATTCCACCGGTTGATGTTTGCCATAGAATCAACAAGGTGATGGAGGGCCGGAGATCGAACCTCACATCCTCATCTTGGGATCCATCCAGATGATGAGTCGTGAAGAAGCCCTTAGAAAAGTTCTCTGAATGCAGGCATTTAGGGAATGTAGTGCTGAGCTTGCAAATTATAATTAATTGTAAATATGCACTCTTCGTGTTAGTGCCTCGATTCTCATTTAATTTGTTCGATTAAAAGTCTAAAAGGAAAAAAGGAAAGAGAGTATTAAATACAGTTCATAAATCATTTCCCTATATCAAACTGGCTCGACGACGACAAATAATGATGCGGTGACGACGACAAATAATGATGTGATGACGCTGACAACCACAATTTGGCGATGAGCCAAAAATGCACAGCTTAGGTTTTTTTATATGTAAGGGTCCTTCTTCCTTAATTTCCAATGACTACGAGAGACGTACCAAAATCCCATTAAATCTACAAATTAAAAAGTTTTTGCACATGCGTCGAAATCCAATTTGTGTGCGAGGAAGAACAGCCTTACATGTAAGGAACCAAGTATTTTCCGAGCAAAATTGAACTCTCTGCAATCGAAACCGGAAGAGGCTAGTCTCCTGTTTGTAAATTTTAAGACCCAAACTTCATTTAAATCATCATAAATTTTAAGACTACCATAAATTAAGGCTAAATATTCACGTCCGAGCACTCAACCTCTTAAAAATAGTACAAAAGATAAACTCCTACTGGTTGAAATAAACTAGGTTAAATGATACAAACACCTACCATCATACATCTTCCCGGCGGCCAACTTCCCATTCATCCGCGTGTCGGTGGAAGAGACCTACCATCTAATATTCCATTCTGACAAGTGCTGTGGACGCATCTACTGATCCACACTGCATCCAGTCCTTGGCACATATGAGGGCTTCAACCGTCTCTGGTCGTAGGGAACTCCTGTACTGATCCATCTCCTTGACCGTGGTATCAAAGACAGAGTTGGTAGGAACTGTAGATACCGGAATTGACAAAATGTCTCGAGTCATCTTTGAGAGCGTCAGGTACTTCATCTTGTTCAGTTTCCACAAGCCTAACACATCAAAATCATTAACTCGGGGCAGCAGAGACTCATCCAAATACTGATCCAGCTCTGACTTCATCTGTTGGCTGGTAGTCTCCATGATGTACATGTCAAAGTCTGTGAGTCCGTTGTCTGTTAGGATAGCTCCACCTTGGGAATCCTCTATCTTAATGTTGTTATTCCCTTTGTCTGCATAAGTTGGTGTGAGAGGCAAAGGCAGTGTCAAATATTCATGAAAGAGCTCATGAATTCCGTCATCGACAACCTTGATATGCATTGGAACTTCTTCGCCAGAAATTTTGTTGAAACTGAACTCAACAAGCTTCATCTTGAACCTGGGATCCATAACTACTGCTGTTGCCAAAGCCAGGCTACAATTCTTCCAGTATTTTTCAATTCTTTCTTGCATTGTCTTAGTTAGGCAGCTAATGAAGGGATCCTCACTTGCGACCGTCTTAGTCAGATCAGTCTGAATCCTCCACACTTCATGGAAGAAAGTAACTGCAGTTGGGTTAGTGTAGTGGTAAGGATATTGGCCGCATCGAAGATAAGTTTCAAATATGTGCAGATAGTCTCAACTTGCTTCCAGTCTTCCATTGACGGGGTTTGTTTGTAATTAGGATCAGATGTATCCAAGCAAGTAAAAACTTCCTTTAACTCAGAACAGGCCACCAGCATTTGATATGTTGTGTTCCATTTAGTTTGGTCGTCAATTGATGGGCTCCTTTCACTTGGGACTTGGAGCTGACTCTAAAGCTCCAGAAACTTTTCTTAATGGGACTCTGATGTCTTCACATACTTTACACTATCCTAGACTTTTTTTACTACACCGCTTCCTGCTGCTAACAGTTCTTTTGCAATGCTGTTCAAAGTACGGGCCATGCAATGCCCAACCAATAGTTGACCATTGAGGATAAGTGGGTTCTTGTTTGAAAGGAGAGGCCTTAAATTTTCAAGAGCAGTCTCACTCAGTGGCTGATCATAAGTGACTGAAAATAACTTGTTTTCCAAACTCCAATCATTAAGGCAAACAGCAACAGCATGACTAAGCGCAGAATCAGAGTCCGGATATGGTTCCATCACTACATTGAGCAGCCGCCTATGCAACTTCCAGTCAGCATCAATGAAGTGCCCAGTAATAAACACATAACCCACGCTTTGAGAGGAACTCCACATGTCCAAAGTAAGGCAGACACGTCCAGGTATGCCCTCAATAAACTTGGTGACACTTTGCTTTTCCGTTAGGTAAGTTGCAACACAATCTCCTTGAACAGTATTGAAGCTCACCATGTTGAACTGTGAGTTAAGATTCTGTGCAAAAGCTACAAACCCAGGATGCTCAACCATATGCAGGGGGTAGTCATGCATGATGATCATCCTTGCAATCTCATGGCGACAACGGTCTGGATCAAATATAATTTGGGGTGTGTTAGCAATCCAGTAACGCCTTTTTGGTGGATTGGAAGAGATGCCACCCCTTGAAGCTGGGGTATATGGGGAAGACTGATTGTTGTTCTGGTTACGAAAAAGTGCTGGGCAGGTCCCCTTCGCAATGTGGTGTTTGAGGTGGCTGGTACCTGCTACTTTTGAACCCGTACTGTAAGCAAAACTTTGCTTACACTGCTTGCAGCATGCCCTCAGACAATTGACTTCTTTTTCCTGCACTTGTTAGGCTGTGTTTCTGTATTTTCCACCTCATTGTTTTCATAAGGAGTTGCAGTCTTATCTTCAAATGGGGTCAGCAGTAGCATCTTTTCTTCATCAGGTGTTTCCATCATGTCTTCATCAGGGGTGGCCCTCTTGTGATTAATAGGAGTGGTCAATGGCTCTTCAAAGTGGGCAGTCATCGGATCTTCAAATTGGGCAGCCATCGCCTATTCATAATGGGTAGACATGGGCTCTTCAACGGGGGAGGCCATCAGCTCTTCAACGGGGGCAGCCATCGGCTCTTCAATGGGGGCAGCCATCGGCTCTTCAGCGTGCACAGCCATCGGCTCTTCAGCGGGGGCGGCCATCGGCTCTTCAACGGGCGCGGATATCGGCTCTTCGGCTGGGGCGGATATTGGCTCTTCAACGGGGGCAGACCACGGCTCTTCAACGCGGGCGGACTACGACTCTTCAACGCGGGCGCCCATCGACTCTTCCATGGGGGAGGCCATTTTGTCTTGAATAGGAGCAGCAATTGTCTCTTCAGTAGGGGTTGCCATGTTGTCTTTGGGAAGTAAAATCCTGCATTCAGCAAACAGCCACCACCTTTAAGAAAACGGAAAGTAAATGCTGTAACTAAGAGCATAGTGATAATGGAACACATCGTTAAAGACTTCGCCACAGAATCTGAGCAGCAACAACAACAACAACAACAAAGCATTTTCCCACTAAGTGGGGTCGCCTATATGAATCCTAGAACGCCATTGTGCTTGGTTTTGTGTCATGTCCTCCGTTAGATCCAAGTACTCTAAGTCTTTTCTTAGGGTCTCTTCCAAAGTTTTCCTAGGTCTTCCTCTACCCCTTCGGCCCTGAACCTCTGTCCCGTAGTCATATCTTCGAACCGGAGCGTCAGTAGGCCTTCTTTGCACATGTCCAAACCACTGTAACTGATTTTCTCTCATCTTTCCTTCAATTTCGGCTACTCCTACTTTACCTCGGATATCCTCATTTCTAATCTTATCATTTCTCGTGTGCCCACACATCCAACGAAGCATCCTCATCTCCGCTACACCCATTTTGTGTACGTGTTGATGCTTCACCGCCCAACATTCTGTGCCATACAGCATCGCCGGCCTTATTGCCGTCCTATAAAATTTTCCCTTGAGCTTTAGTGGCCTACGACGGTCACACAACACACCGGATGCACTCTTCCACTTCATCCATCCAGCTTATATTCTATGGTTGAGATCTCCATCTAATTCTCCGTTCTTTTGCAAGATAAAACCTAGGTAGCGAAAACGGTCGCTCTTTGGTATTTCCTAATCTCCGATCCTCACCCCTAACTCATTTTGGCCTCCATTTGCACTGAACTTGCACTCCATATATTCTGTCTTTGATCGGCTTAGGCGAAGACCTTTAGATTCCAACACTTCTCTCCAAAGGTTAAGCTTCGCATTTACCCCTTCCTGAGTTTCATCTATCAACACTATATCGTTTGCGAAAAGCATACACCAAGGAATATCATCTTGAATATGTCCTGTTAACTCATCCATTACCAACGTAAAAAGGTAAGGACTTAAGGATTGTTGATGCACAAAATCAGTGAGGACTTTGGTACAACAGAAAGTATTAAGTTTGTGATCTTCGCTAGATTGCTCTGGTCATTAGTGTGGATAAGTATATAAATGGATTGAGACATGAAAGCAAACACAAGATGTACATGGTTCACCCAGATTGGCTACGTCCACAGAGTAGAGGAGTTCTCATTAATTGTGAAGGGTTTACACAAGTACATAGGTTCAAGCTCTCCTTTAGTGAGTACAAGTGAATGATTTAGTACAAATGACATTAGGAAATATTATGGGAGAATGATCTCGTAATCACGAAACTTCTAAGTACCGAAGTGTGGTATCGTCTTCACTTGCCTTATCTGTCTCATAGGTAGATGTGGCATCTTCTCTGGAAGTACTCTTCCTCCATCCAGGGATGATATCTTTAATTGGTGGAGATGCACAAAGTAATGTATCAATTTCATTTGAAGCTTACTTATAGTTTCAGGCTTGGTCAAGCACGATACAAACCATGTAGTAGGAGTCCCCCAAGTCACCGAGCTAGGGGATCTGCTGAAAGAGGTGACAGACAAGGTAAGCAATCAGAGCTCCAAGCAATCAGTCCCAGATCAAAAGTTTGATTTCGAGTTTCGGCTGATTGTTCTCATTCTCCCTATCTTGCAGGCAGCATGAAGGATAAAGAGAAGAAAAAATAGAAGAGATGATATGAGATACTTTTGCTTTTGAAGAAGTAACTTTCCACAGGCTTATTCTTGAACTGGGCTGGAGGGTTTTCTGGTTTCCTCCAGAGTATAAGGCCGACTGAAGAATTTGAGGGTCAAAACAAGTCCATCAAATCTAGAGTACGTTCGACCCTGCTGATATGGGATACTTTTGCTGTTGACAAAGTAGTGGATGTATCGGCACGTGTTCTGTTACGCTTGTCTCCACATACTTCCTTGTATTCTTCTCACTTGCCTTATCTGTTCCTCAGACAGATGTGGTATCTTCTCTGGAAACATAAGATGTTGAAGATGAGTGCTCGAGAGCAATGCCAGGTAAGTAATCAGGTAAGGGGTCCAGGCAGTCAGTTCCTGACTGGAAGCTTGATTCCAAGTGCTGACTGATTTCTCTCTTTCTCCTTGTCTTGCAGGTAAGAATAAGGCCAAAGGAAAAGACAGGGAAAAAGCATGATATGGGATACTCTTGCTTTTAACCCTGATAATATGAGATATTCTTGCTCTGGTGTAGCTTGTTTGCAGAGGTATTATCGGGGGGAAAGAAAGCTAAGTATTTCGAGAGGCTTCGTTAGGAGTGCCCTCTCAGATATGAGGAAAGGTTGAGCATTTTTGCAGGTCTGCCTGTCCGTTGAGGATGGAGGTCGACATATATAGGAGTCTCCCTAACAACAAGTAGTAATGTTATTCATTTACCCTGCTTGGTCATAGCACGGTAGTGGGAGCTGACAGCTTCACATGTTTTAACTCTGTCAGAGCACTTTGAAAAAGTGGTCTGTGGTATCTGGAAAACTGATGTTGTGTGTGAAGATTACAGACAAGCTTTATCCAAGGAGATCTGGCTCTCGAAGTTGAGAAGCGGTGCCTCTTCGATTTTCGAACAAGCAATTCTGTCGGGGATTTGGCTCTCGAGATTCAGAGAACGGTACCTTTTCGATTTTTGAGAAAGCAATCCTGCTAGGAGTCTGGCTCTCGAGATTCGGAGAGCGGTGTCTCTTCGATTTTTGAGAAAGTAATCATGTTGGGAGTCTGGCTCTCGAGATTCGAATGGTGGTGCCTCTTCGATTTTGGAGCAAGCAATCTTGTTGGGAGTGTTCTCGAATGTGAGTAAAGGTTAGGCATGTTTGCTAGTCTACCTTGCCATGAAGCACAAAGGTTGACACACAGGGACTTTCCAATTATCCAGCAGTGGTATTGTTCCTTTACCCTTGTGGGTAATAATATGGTAGCTAAACCTTCAAAATTTATATGTCTAAACTTTGTCAGTGCTGTTTCTTTGCTATTCTTTTACCCTTCTTAGTCATAGCGATGTAGTGAGAGCTGCAAGCTTCACGTGTCTAAACTTTGTCAGAGATCTTTGGCAAAGTTATCTGTGGTACCCATGAGCTGATGTTGCGTGTGGAAAGTGGATGATTGAACAGTAAGATTCACATGCTTTCTAATTCACCAGAAATCTTCAGCAGAATGCCCGTAATTTCTGCAAAGCTGAGTGCATGTGACAGGTGCTGACAAGGTTGAAAAAGCAGGTGCCTCTTCGATTTCTGAGATCGGCCCTCGTGGTCTCTGAGCAGGCCAGCTTTTGAGAAAGCAAACACCTCTTCGATTTTTGAGATCGACCTTCGTGGTCTTTGAGCAGCCAGCTTTTGAGAAAGCAAACACCTCTTCGATTTCTGAGATCGGCCCTCGTGGTCTCTGAGCAACCCAGCTTTTGAGAAAGCAAACGCCTCTTCGATTTTTTAGCAGACGCCTCTTCGATTTCTGAAGCTCCGTCGAGTGCAGATTTTTATAGAGGCTGGCATTAAGTTCCAAAGCACACTTGAATCTCCACCAGTAGAAGCTCCCTTCTTGCACTTCTAAGATCTTGATTTGTCCGACCTCTTCTCTCTTCAACACCTTTGAAAATGTCTGGCCCCTCCGACCGTCGTTTTGACTTGAACCTTGTTGAAGAGGCAGCCACGCCTTCTCCAGACAACATATGGCGCCCATCCTTTTTATCCTCTACTGGTCCTCTTACCGTTGGGGATTCCGTGATGAAGAATGATATGACCGCTGCGGTGGTGGCCAGGAACCTTCTCACTCCCAAAGATAACAGACTACTTTCCAAACGGTCTGATGAGTTGGCTGTTAAGGATTCTCTGGCTCTCAGTGTTCAGTGTGCAGGTTCTGTGTCTAATATGGCCCAACGCCTATTTGCTCGAAACCCGCCAAGTTGAATCATTGGCGGCTGAAGTGATGAGTCTCAAACAGGAGATTAGAGGGCTCAAGCATGAGAATAAACAGTTGCACCGGCTCGCACATGACTATGCTACAAACATGAAGAGGAAGCTTGACCAGATGAAGGAATCTGATGGTCAGGTTTTACTTGATCATCAGAGATTTGTGGGTTTGTTCCAAAGGCATTTATTGCCTTCGTCTTCTGGGGCTGTACCGCGTAATGAAGCTCCAAATGATCAACCTCTGATGCCTCCTCCTTCTAGGGTTCTGTCCAGTACTGAGGCTCCAAAATGATCCCCTTTCCGGTGCCTTCTCTTTCTGGGGCTCTACCGACTGCTGAGACTTCTCCTAAGCAACCTTTGTGAAGGCTCCCTCTTGTTTGTTTATTTTGACTCATGTATATGTACATATTTGTAACTTATCGGAGATATCAATAAATAAGCTTTCCTTCATTTCAACGTATTGTGTTAAATACACCAAAGCCTTCTTCGCTAAGTTCTTTGAATTTTTCTTTTGTTGAAGCTTGTATGTTGAAGCTTTTGTGAGTGGAGCATGTAGGTTGAGGTAGTGTTCCCTTAATTTCCCGAGTGAGGAAAACTTCTCGGTTGGAGACTTGAAAAAATCCAAGTCACTGAGTGGGATCGGCTATATGAATCTTAGAACGCCATTGTGCTCGATCCTGTGTCATGTCCTCCGTTAGATCCAAGTACTCTAAGTCTTTTCTTAGAGTCTCTTCCAAAGTTTTCCTAGGTCTTCCTCTACCCCTTCGGCCCTGAACCTCTGTCCCGTAGTCGCATCTTCTAATCGGAGCGTCAGTAGGCCTTCTTTGCACATGTCCAAACCACCGTAACCGATTTTCTCTCATCTTTCCTTCAATTTCGGCTACTCCTACTTTACCCCGGATATCCTCATTCCTAATCTTATCCTTTCTCGTGTGCCCACACATCCAACGAAGCATCCTCATCTCCGCTACACCCATTTTGTGTACGTGTTGATGCTTTCACCGCCCAACATTCTGTGCCATACAGCATCGCCGGCCTTATTGCCGTCCTATAAAATTTTCCCTTGAGCTTCAGTGGCATACGGCGGTCACACAACACGCCGGATGCACTCTTCCACTTCATCCATCCAGCTTGTATTCTATGGTTGAGATCTCCATCTAATTCTCCGTTCTTTTGCAAGATAGATCCTAGGTAACGAAAACGGTCGCTCTTTGGTATTTCTTGATCTCCGATCCTCACCCCTAACTCGTTTTGGCCTCCATTTGCACTGAACTTGCACTCCATATATTCTGTCTTTGATCGGCTTAGGCGAAGACCTTTAGATTCCAACACTTCTCTCCAAAGGTTAAGCTTTGCATTTACCCCTTCCTGAGTTTCATCTATCAACACTATATCGTCTGCGAAAAGCATACACCAAGGAATATCATCTTGAATATGTCCTGTTAACTCATCCATTACCAACGCAAAAAGGTAAGGACTTAAGGATGAGCCTTGATGTAATCCTACAGTTATGGGGAAGCTTTCGGTTTGTCCTTCATGAGTTCTTACGGCAGTCTTTGCTCCTTCATACATATCCTTTATAGCTTGGATATATGCTACTCGTACTCCTTTCTTCTCTAAAATCCTCCAAAGAATGTCTCTTGGGACCCTATCATACGCTTTTTTCCAAATCTATAAAGACCATGTGTAAATCCTTTTTCCCATCTCTATATCTTTCCATCAATCTTCGTAAGAGATAGATTGCCTCCATGGTTGAGCGCCCTGGCATGAACCCGAATTGGTTGTCCGAAACCCGTGTCTCTTGCCTCAATCTATGCTCAATGACTCTCTCCCAGAGCTTCATTGTATGACTCATTAGCTTAATACCCCTATAGTTCATGCAATTTTGTACGTCGCCCTTATTCTTGTAGATAGGCACCAAAGTGCTCTTTCGCCACTCATTTGGCATCTTCTTCGTTTTCAAAAATCCTATTGAAAAGGTCAGTGAGCCATGCTATACCTGTCTCTCCCAAGACTTTCCACACTTCGATTGGTATATCGTCTGGGCCTACTGCTTTTCTATGCTTCATCTTCTTCAAAGCTACAACCACTTCTTCCTTCCTGATTCGACGATAAAAAGGAGTAGTTTCTACACTCTTCTGAGTTACTCAACTCCCCTAAAGAAGCACTCCTTTCATGTCCTTCATTGAAAAGATTATGAAAATAACCTCTCCATCTGTCTTTAACCGCGTTCTCTGTAGCAAGAACCTTTCCATCCTCATCCTTGATGCACCTCACTTGGTTTAGGTCCCTTGTCTTCTTTTCCCTTGCTCTAGCTAGTTTATAGATATCCAACTCTCCTTCTTTGGTATCTAGTCGCTTTATACATATCGTCATAAGCCGCTAACTTAGCTTCTCTCACAGCTTTCTTCGCCTCTTGCTTCGCTTTTCTATACCTTTCACCATTTTCATCGGTCCTATCCTTGTATAAGGCTTTACAACATTCCTTCTTAGCCTTCACCTTTGTTTGTACCTCCTCATTCCACCACCAAGATTCCTTTTGGTGTGTGGAAAAGCCCTTGGACTCTCCTAATACCTCTTTTGCTACTTTTCGGATACAACTAGCCATGGAATCCCACATTTGGCTAGCTTCCCCTCTCTCTATCCCACACACACATTGGGTGATTACTTTCTCTTTGAAAATGGCTTGTTTTTCTCCTTTTAGATTCCACCATCTAGTCCTTGGGCACTTCCAAGTCTTGTTCTTTTTTCTCACTCTTTTGATATGTACATCCATCACCAACAAGCGATGTTGATTAGCCAAGCTCTCTCCTGGTATAACTTTGCAATCCTTACAAGTTATACGATCCCCTTTCCTCATTAGAAGAAAATCTATTTGTGTTTTTGACGACCCACTCTTGTAGGTGATCACATGTTCTTCTCTCTTCTTAAAGAAGGTGTTGGCTAAGAAGAGATCATATGCCATTGCAAAATCCAAGATAGCTTCCCCCATCCTCGTTTCTCTCCCCAAAACCATGGCCACCATGAAAACCTCCATAGTTGCCTGTCTCCCTGCCCACGTGTCCATTTAAATCTCCTCCTATAAATAACTTCTCCGTCTGAGCAATTCCTTGCACCAAGTCTCCAAGGTCTTCCCAAAATTTCTCCTTCGAACTCGTATCCAACCCTACTTGAGGTGCGTACGCACTAATCACATTGATGAAGTTCTTGTCCTATTACAATCTTGATTGCCATGATTCTATCTCCTACCCTCTTGACATCTACAACATCTTGTGTCAAGGTCTTGTCCACGATGATGCCAACACCGTTTCTCGTTCTATTTGTGCCCGAATACCAAAGTTTAAACCCTGAGTTTTCTAGATCATTTTGCCTTAAGACCAACCCACTTAGTTTCTTGTAGGCACATAATATTTATCCTTCTCCTCACCATAACTTCCACTACTTCATAGATTTTCCCGTTAAGGTTCCTATATTCCACGTTCCTAAACGCATTCTACTCTCTTGAACTCTACCCTTCTGTCCTAGCTTCTTCACCTTCCCCCGTCTAATAGGATCAAAGTACTTCTTTTGTGTGTCCTGTGTAAAGTTGATAGGAGCATATGCTCCCAAACAACTTTGAGTGGAGTCGTTCGAAAAGAAGTTTCTATGGCCCCCTTGCTCATTTAACACTGCATCCGGGTGCCGATGAAGATACAACGACCCTTACTCACTTATCACTGTGCTCGGGCCACACAGCGCGCCACTTACGGGTGACGCCCTAGCTTTAGCGCAATTTCGTTCTAGATTCATTTTCATAAGGATTCGACGTAACCAAGAAGTGCCGGCTGTCGACTACCTGACGCCCTCCCCCTCCTCCTTTATCCGGGCTTGGGACCGGCAATGTAAGATAAACTTACACAGGCGGAGTTGCCACAGAATCTGAGCATGAACCAAAAATCATATAAATAAACAGAAGCAACATAACAACAGCTTCTTGCATTCAGAGAAACATGGAATGAATAAACGGAGGAACAAACCCGTATTTCAATGTTACGAGACTACTTCAGAACAGTAAACATACAATATAGCAAACTGTCAAGTACCACAAAAGAGACAAAAAATAGGATCTCATTCTTTCAATTGTATTTAATTACGGAAAGGTCTAATTATGTCGTTGATGCATCCCTTCACCACTGTAATGGTAACGACCGCAATCTTTCATAATACGCATCCCATCATACAGAACCAGCTAAATATTAAGTCAAGAAGTTTCTACGTTTTGTGCATGGCAGGAACAAATTTCATGGTCCAAACACCCTACTATCCCAACAATGAGAAACACAAACTAGCGAAATGCACCAATTATAAATATATTTTTGGACCGGAAGGAGAATTCGATTCTCATTAGGCAAAACTAAACTAACTAAGAAACTGAAATACGAAAACTTGTAAACCAAAAACACGAAAAGCGAAAAAATAATGAGCAATAATCCAAGATTTAATATCTAAGCATGCATGTTATGTAGATTTAATATCTACATAAAGCACCCCATCTCGCAAGGCCAAGCTTATTCAATCACAACTGTTTGTTGGGATTTTTTTTTACTTTTTTCTATTTTTATTTCTTGTGGGAATCGCATCAAACATTTTAAATAAATATATTAGCCTTGATAGAAAAACAGAGAGTGCTCCAAGGCACCAAAATTTCTACCACTGCTCCACCCATAAGCACTTAAGTATACACAAAGAAAGAACCCACCACATCTCCTCAAATCTCCCTCTCAGAAACTTTTTCCAGCATCACCCTAATACATTTAGAGCCACTCAAATGAAAAGTTAAAACAATTTTAGAATTAAAACAAAAAATCTCATGACCTTTCCTTTGACAACTCTGATAGTTTGAGTGTATAATGACGTAAAGACGTTGCAAGAATGCCATGCGCAATTCTGTGTATATGTGAGCAGTGTAATACTATTTATATGTGTGTGTGTGTGTGTGATAATGGCACTGATCGAACTTGCCCGACTGGAATTGCAGCAACGCATCCTGCGCAAAAGCTCGGGTCACGGACATGACGGCTTCGTCCTCGGCAGCTGAAGCAGAACCGTCCCGATTCGCAGCCGTTGATGACGGAGACGAAGACGAAGACGAAGCCATCGGCGAATCGATCAATCAGAGCTAGGAACCAATAAGCCTTATCTGAATACACAAATCCCCAAGAAGAAATGATCCAAAACAACGAACCCTAGAGGGTAAAAGGTGCGTTTTGGGGATTGATATGAAGTCGGAGTTGGGGGCTTTGGGGGTTTTCGAACCCTAAGAGGTTTGCAAGAGAGGACACCTGTTCGAGCGTCTTTTGCTCGAATGTGCTGATTTGCAGAGATAGTGGGGAGAGAGAGAGAGAGTAGAAAAGGATACGACCGAGAGGGAGAGAGAGAGAGTAGAAAAGGATACGACTGAGAGAGAGAGGGAGAGCGAGCGAGCGAGCGAGCCAGCGAGCCAGCGAGAGCAGTTGTTTTGGGGCTTTCTTAGGTTGCTGGGTATGGGAGTTTCGACAGGGGGTGTTTGCTGGGTGCACGCAACAATTGGGCTTCTCTTCTGTGCTAAATGGGCCATGGACTGACATTCTTTGTAGGGTGTGATTAGAATTTTGTGATGATCTTGTTTTTAGCTGTGTTTCATGTTTTGTTTGATTTAGTAAAGGGGTGTGTTAATTTATGTCATTTGGCATTCTTTAATTCATTCGATTCGACAACCACAAATTAAGAAGTTGTGTATCAAGGAAAATGGGGTGTGCCTTTGTTAATGGTGGGAGTTACGTTTTCAGATTGTATGAACATTTGGAAAGCTGTTTTTGAACGCACCAGTGTGTGCTTTACATAATGAAATAATGATATTAACATGCTATTTTTAGAATTATAATTAGACTTGTCAAGTGGGTACCATGTTCAATTTGGAACTGGATCCTCTCCTGAGCTGAGGATGAGGATCCTCATGAGGAGCCCATCTGAGCCGTTCAAACTTGATCCAACGACTATAATTATTATAACTTTTAGAGGGATCCCCTGTTTAGAGTTGTTGGATCAAATTTCATAGGCTCAGATAGGCTGCTCAGGAGGATCCCTATCCTGAGCTCAGGAAAGATCCAGTTCCGTTCAATTTCACCCATAAGGAAACCAAAATTTAATATTAGTGTGGGCTCTAGTCTACAAAGTAATCTTGTACCATAATTAATATAATACAGAAAACATAAGTAATTCAGTTATGTACATAACATATGGCCAGCTCAAACATTTGGGGCTCTACATTTCTTTACACAGGAAACTGTCAAAGTAGAAGCTGAGAGTACTGAGACAGCCAAACTATCCCTTTCTCAACAGCTCCAAGATGCACTCTGCACTCTGCATTCTCAATAAGACCTTCCCAGGCAACCTGCAAAATTGGAGTACATAAGAATCTTAGCTTAAGACATGGAATCAGAAAGTCTGGATATTCTGAGACTAGATTAAGTTTTAACGCTGACAAGGATTAGGGACTTGGATCTAGCTTCGAAGGAGCATAACATAAATGAAATCATTAAGAAAAAGACATCATCTATTCTTTGGAATTAGACTTACTTGTGAAGCAATTTGAACTTGTGAGTCATGATCTGAAAATGTCTGCTCGGGAATTTTTAGCATCTGATTAATTAACTGCCTGTTCTTCAACGCATGAGATCCTAGTAAGCGGATAAACCATCCCCATGCTTGAATAGTTTGAACCTTCATGCCATTGGTTAGCATGTGGTGCATCCCAGTAAGCAACCTTGGCTTCAAATCTTTGACAACTGCCTGTTTATGGAAGAAAATGAAGAAAAAGGAAATGTACATGTCAATATAAATTACAGAATAACCAGCAAGACAAGATCATGGAAAGCCACCTCATGGTTCTATGTGAGACCCGTGAAGCCAATGGAAGGGATGCTATATAATCTTATGGTTAATTTTTCCGTGACACGAAATAATCTACGCATACTAGAAGTCATACTTCAAGAAAATGACATGAGCAAGTGAGTACCTTGGAAAGATTTAGCGGAGGGGGTAATATTGTAGACCTAGCGTTCAATAAACAACTCTCCGACATATCCCTCTCCCTCTTATCAGAGCTAAGGAGTCTTCTATATACTGGAGGAGCCCATATATGCGACATCTCTCTCATATTCTCACTTAACAAAGTTGCCAGCTTCATAACAGCCTGTCACAATAACATAAGGCATATTCAGAAGAATTAGTATGAAAACAACGCTGTTTAAAACGCATGATACTTGCGATGTATTACCTGAATAGCCTCAAAAGTAGTCGACAAAGAACCGATAGGATTGTCAATGGCATGAACAATCGCAAGCAAAAGATAATGGAAATGGGCAGCTAAAAGTGGTGTACTCAATTGTTGGATAGATATGCACCACACCCCTAAATTGCAAACAGACTGCAGTTATGAAATCAGCAGGTTAATATTCGGACACACACGCGAAAAAACAAAAACTAAAAACACAAAAAGATTATCGCTTTTAGTAATAAATTCCCGTTAATATAAAGAAATAACCTTCATTTTTGTGGTTGTAATGAGCTTTGCCAGTGAATCTAAAACAAATTTGACATCATCCGCTGCGAAACAAAGAAATTGGTGACAGAAATTTGGTTATCAGTTTAAGCTCAGCTGCCTAAAAAGTTCAAAATTTAAATTTCAAACGAAACAGATTTTTGAGTGGCTACATGTACCTGCGATTTCGGCAACGATGGACGGATGATATATCATAAAGCCCAAGCATTTCAATGCCTGAGTTGCACTGCAAAAATTTTAAATAAAAAAATAAAATCCAAGACGTATTCAGTTACACCATACCATTAAAATAAATGAAAACCCCAGAAAAATGACATTTCGAATCGGAAGAACTCACATTTCTTCGTCATTGTTCCGAACATCGGCGACGGTCGGACGGATGAGGCTCCGGCAGCTCCGCGCAAGCATTTGAATTGAATCGTCGCAGTCGGAGGATTGCTGCTGGAGGTGTAAGAGGGTGGAGTAGGCGAAGGACTTGTTTGCTTTGGTGGCGGCTGAAGATATCAGGGATTTGATTTCTTCGAGCTGGTCTGAAAATCCGGACATCGTTGCGGTGGGGGAGAGGAAGCAGCAGTGCCCAGACTACCGGTAGCATGTGAGGTGAAACCCTAATGTCGCACTGGATTTTTGGAATTGGGAGTCTTTTCGCGCCATAGCGCGGAAAAGGGTAACGGGTTTATCAACTTGGGGCCTGTTGGGCTTTGGGCCTAAATAAATGGTAAGAAATATTTCAAGTGGTTTTAGAACTCAAAAATATTTCTTTAAAAGCGTTTTTAATTGCTAGTGCTTGTTAAACGAGTCCTAAGTCCCACTAGGCCTGGAAAACGGGTTGTGTTTGTTATGTTCGTGTTGTTTTCGTATAACATCTGTTATCTTAACGGGTTGTGTTGTGTCACACCCGTTATCTTAAAGGATCCTTAGGGTAAAGTGACCCGACCAGTTATGACCTGTTAAGAAAAATATATATTTTTTCTTAAATTTGCACATACCACACATTGCCACATAAATATTACTTCAAAACATTAAAATACATTTGTCATTTAAGTACTACATCTACACTAAAAAATAAGAGCCTAATAAACAAATATCCATACACTACTAGTCTATTACAAAATATTAAATGTGCAAGGATATGCAAAAAGAAAGAGTTTTTGTTTTCAAGGTTATGAAGCCTTTCTCAAAAGTTTAAACCTTACTAATGGAACTCAAAACTTGCATGTTATTCCTTTTACAAAATCCTCAATTTTCATCGATCATCATGACATAAGATTTTGTGGCATCCACTTGTGTAAATATTTTAAATTGACAATCAAATTAGTTCATTGTATTCATATAGGATTAAGGAGTGTAGCTTTTAAAAATCATCAAAATCGGAGTTAAAATAACCGTTATATGATTTTTAGTTTATAACTGTAAAATTTTTTTGTCCCATTACTTGATCTCTTAATGTTTGTTTTTTACAATTTTTGGCGTATGTGATCTCGAAGTATATACAAACATGTTTGATGGTTGGATCGTTGAAACTAATTTCGTAGAATGCGTATCCCATCAAAACAATAGATTCACTAACACTTAAGAGTTTATTCATATTTTCATTAAGTATAACATAAAATTTTGTAGTATCCACTTGTGTAAATATTTTAAATTGAAGATCGAGTTCATTCATTGTATTCATATAGGGTCAAGGAGTGTAGCTGTAAAAATCATCAAAATCGAAGTTAAAATAACCGTTAAATCGTGATTTTTCTTTGATAACCGTCGAAAAGTTTTGTCCCGTTACTTGATCTCTAAATGTTTGTTTTTTTTCAATTTTTGGCGTATGCGATCTCGAAGCATATACAAACAAGTTCGACGGTTGGATCGTTGAAATTAGTTTCGTAGAATGCATATCCCATCAAAACGATAGATTCACTAACACTTAGAGTTTATTTATACTTTCATTAAGTATAACATAAGATCGAATTCATTCATTGTAATCATATAGGGTCAAGGAGTGTAGCTGTAAAAAATCATCCAAATCGGAGTTAAAATAATCGTTAAATCGTGATTTTTCGTTTATAACCGTCGAAAAGTTTTGTCCTGTTACTTGATTTCTGAATGTTTATTTTGTACGTATAACACTTAAGAAATTGAATGATATGTATATTTAAGCCGATCCAATGGTCACCAATTTTTAAAATTTAATATACATATATATAATTATTATAGTTTTTAGGAGTATAAAATTGTTAAATTAATATATATAATTATTATAGTATTTTTGTAGGGTTATAAAATTATAAAATTAATATTTTACTTATCGTGTATCGTGTTACCCACGTGTATACCCTTACCAACTCGTTATCTTAACAGGTTCTTATCGGGTTACCCAATAACGACATGATTCGTTATCGTGTTGACCCGAACACCTGTTAATTTCGTATCGTGTCGTGTCAGGAATTGCCAGGCCTAGTTCCAAGTTTGCTTGTAGCGCACGTAAACGATAGTTGAGTTTGTGATAAGTTCAATTTCTTCATTATGCGTGAATTTCTCCATATATATATATATATATGCATATTACGTACTTATGTGTGTACTATAGTTACATAGGTGAGACATTTGTACTAAAACTTATGTACTAATGTATTCGTACCACAATTTTATGTACCTATACATTTGTAACAATACTCTGTACCTATGAGTTTTTTTCATATAAATTTTTTATGTATTGTTGTTGATTTTTTTTTTAATTATAAGAATTTAAATTTTGGATAAATTTTTATCTATTTGTATGATTGGAGCATAAAAATATACATGACTTAAGAATAGGTTTATAAATGTTATAATACTTAAATATGGTAAGTTTTAATAATAAATACTTGAATTAGATTTAGAAAACGATTCATGTTAAAATATAAAAATATCTTATTTAAGTCATAAAATCTAAAAACTCCATTTTTTTTCAAAACTAGTAAAGGAAAAAGTGACGATGAAACATTGCGGACAACAATTGGAGTCGCTCGGGTTAGATTTCATGTCTTCTGGAACAAGTATGGCCATATCAGCGGAGTCACTTAGATTTCACCTATTGTCCCGGAACAAGGTGATGGTGACATCGCTACTCTATCAGGTCAAACTCTTCACAGAGTTGTTGAGTCATGACCAGATTTTTGAGGTAACATTATTCCTATCATCCTTTCTCCAACTTTAGAATACGTACTGTTTGGTCTTCTATCTTTGTATATGATCCAATTTCGTACAATGTAGCAGAGACATTTCCGACTTAGTGGTGCAATCTCGAACGTCGTGCAAAAAAATTGTGATGATGATGAATATTGTTTGCTTCCTAATAGATTAATAGAGTTTAATCTGTCAATCTTTTCGAAGTAAGGAGTGTTGAGGAAAAACATAGGTAAGCTTATGGGCCTGGGGTAGAGTTCAAAAGCCATCTTCGGTGACGTTGTTTTGGAAAAAATGTCACCTCCAAATTTAGTATTTGTAAAGATTTCCACCGCGATATCCGGAATACCACCTTACTTCGATACTAGGTATTAAATATTAAGCTAATGGAACGGTAATGCATTGACCAGATTAAGGTTGAGGAAGTGTCGGATCATACCCGGAAAGACCTTTAGATTTAAATGTTAGTCTGACATGTTTGAGTTGTCTTTGTTTGTTGATTTCGTTTGTTCTTTCACCTTGTCCCCACTCCAAGTCAGAGAATTTCAATAGTGCAACGTATCCTTCTCAGTCCGAAGTGTGTGTCCATCCCTAGTGATTCTTAAACGAAAGATCGTTAGGAACTTGGTTGGCTGCATGTAGGTCGGAAACACTTTGTAAATCCTTTTATCAGACCCTATGCGTCAGACTCGCGGACTTTGAATGTCGTTTTCAGTTTCTCCGAATGTGTCACACATATTGCATGTGGTGATGACCGGTTGTTGTTTGGATGGGATATTTTGCATGCGTACGATATCCCTTGTGTGCACCCCACTGCGTTATGGTCTTGGTAGTTATTATATTTTACTTGGTCATCAGGCATTGTTGGTTTATAGTAATGTTCGGGTAATCACTTACCATTCTACTCTCTTATTTACCCACCATCACTTCACTCTTCATTTCTCACTGAATCTCTCTCTCTCTCTCTCACTCACACTCCACTCTCTTGTATTATGTGTATAATGCTAGCAGAAAAAGTGGCAGTGGAGGTTGTCCAGAGAAATATATTGGCGCCAATACTGGATGATATTCATGTGGAGGTTGAGATAGGAGGACCTCAATTTTGGTAGATTTTAGATGTTGTTATCTTGTAAAATGTTAGACAACTTCATTCACTTAATATATATTACCTAGTTAAACTCATTCTATTTTCTCTTAAGATATTGTTTCTAATCTGAATACCTCACCCAATTCGTGAATTTGAGTTAAGTATTTTTTTTTCCTTCTTCTTTTCAATTTTCTTCTCAACTAATGCAGTTTAAGGTTTATTAATTATAGATCGATATAATTAGTATGTGAGTGGGCAAGAATCCGATATAATTCATGTGAAAAAAAAATTTCAATTCTTTTTAAAAAATTTTGGTATAGGGCACGATTATACAGAAGTGCCCAATCAGTTGAGAAGGGCTGTCAGACCTATCTGAATGAAGGCACAAATTAGGCTCTATAGTGTTTTGCCTTAATAACACAAACAACTATATTGTGCCCTTTGACCAAAGGACACACTCATAAGGGGCACACATAGAATTATCATTGCTGCACTGTTGCTATTTGTCTACGAGCACATATGTTGGTGCTCTTTGGTCTCAAAGGGCACAAATAGTTTAAGGAAAACTAATGAAAAAGGCTTGAAAACTTTGAGTTTTAACGAGAAGGACAAAATAAAGGGTAAAGTGAATAGTAGCAGGTTTGACTTTATTGTGTAAAAATGTGATTTCGTTAAAATGAACAAAACCGTAGACTTTTCGTTAAATCTCTCAATAATTTATTGTGTGCAGTGCCCATATTTTTTGTAGTGTGCCGAGTGCTATGCATATATATGCAAACGGAGAGCTTGTCTAACAACCGATTTTAGTAATCTTGGTCCAAGATTTCAGAGATCTGTCATCGTAGTCTATTTCATACAATGCAAAGTGAATTATGGGGAAGGTCCAGCTAGTAATGCTCTCGTCGAGAATATTAACAATTTCTCCAGCTTTTTTCCTTTCTTCTTCCGTCAACTTCCCATAGAGGAGACTCAAATATGGCATAGAACCTGCATCAAATATTGCAGACACGCAGATTACATACATACATTCCCGTCAACACTTTAAGAAATTAAGTTACTGTAAACAACAACTTACTGTTGTAGAAACCGAAATGGTAGCTCCAACTTTGGGCATTTTCAAATAACTAAGAAAAGAAGGTGTAATGATAAGTGAGTCTATTCAAGCTCAAACCAAAACGAGAAAGATGAAAAGGAAACAAAACAGAACTAAACAAAACATCAAGAAAATATATACCTCTCGATCCATCAATAATGAAACACACTGGTGATAGTAATTCTTAGTAACCACCCGATCAACTTTAGCAACGATGTCATTAGGAGCAAATCTAAACTTGTTAAGGGCATCCTCACGACTCATCATCTCGATGGATCCCAAGATGGGGATGTGAGGTTCGATCTCTGGCCCACCAAACTC